GTCAAAACCATTCTTTTCTTCTTCTAACTATATATTAAATGCAGGCCTAACATATGTCTTCACTAAAGTCTATTTTTTGATAAGGGTGGCCACCCTGTTTCTGATATCAGACTCCAGGCCTTCAATATGGACCAGCCAGGAAATGGAGGGTGGGTGGAACCTCAGCAAAATGTTTTGAATTTTTGTCAAATTTCTAACCAGTTCTCATAAGTTTGTGGTAGGTCCATATAAATGCAGGTTTTAGTCTAAAATGTCCATTTCAAACATAATTCAAGGTTTTTTTAAAGACCGTTTAATTGAACTTCTCAGTTGAACTTTTCAGCCTTATACAAAGCAGATTAGGTTTTGTATATGTTGCTATTTATGCCGTGACCAACCTGTGAAAAATGTGTGATTTCTCCTCAGAGTTTCTGAAACTAGGGCCCCAGACCCAAAAGGGGGTCACAAGCCTGTTAGGGTGTTGCAGTATTGCCACTCTTACATCTGCGTTTCCTGAAGCTGATGGCAGGATGGAAATACCATGCCACCCTTACTTCTCTGCTGCTGCTGGCAGGCAGTATTGCCTTCAGAGCTAGCCACCTGGCCAGCAGCTGCCACTCTCCCGCCACCCAGCTCTGAAGGCAGAGTGGAGAGTGGTGGCTGCTGGCCGGGTGCCCAGTTCAGAAGGCAATGCTGCCTGCCAGCAGCAGTGGACAATTAAGGGTGGCATGATATTTCCACCCTTACTTCTGTGCTGTGGCAGCCCTGCCTTAAGAGCTGGGCAGCCAGAGACCAGATTTCATGGTCCGTGATGCAATTTTCACGACTGTGAATTTGGTAGACCCCTAATTATAACAACATTGACTGCAAACCGTGTATTATGAACCAGTTATTCTTGTTAACCCTTGTCATTTCCCCCCCCTCATAGATTTAAAAAAAAAATCTGTACTATAACACAAACTTATTGCTGTTTTCCAACAGGGCTGCTAAACGATGGAACTGTGGGCATCTTTCGAGGCAACCAGATGCGTTTGAAACGAGCTTGTATCCGCAAAGCAAAAATCTCTGCAGTGGCTTTCCGGAAAGCATTTTGCCATCACAAGCTGGTAGAACTTGATGCTACGGGGGTGAATGCAGATATTACAATCACAGACATCATAAGTGGACTTGGTAGCAATAAATGGATCCAACAAAACCTTCAGTGCCTTGTGCTGAACTCATTAACTCTCTCCTTGGAAGACCCATATGAAAGATGCTTCAGTCAGTTGTCTGGTCTTCGTGCTTTAAGCATTACCAATGTGCTGTTCTACAATGAAGACTTAGCAGATGTTGCATCACTTCCAAGGTTAGAAAGTCTAGATATATCCAATACCTCTGTCACTGACATAACTGCACTCCTCACCTGCAAGGATCAACTTAAGTCTCTGACCATGCACCACCTGAAATGCTTGAAAATGACGACCACGCAGATTTTGGATGTTCTAAGAGAACTAAAATATCTGAATCATCTTGATATTTCAGATGATAAACAATTCACATCAGATATAGCACTTCGTTTACTAGAACAGAAAGATATCCTACCTAACCTTGTGTCTTTGGACATTTCCGGAAGAAAGCATGTTACAGATGAAGCTGTAGAAGCATTTATTCAACAAAGACCAACAATGCAGTTTGTGGGACTGTTAGCTACTGATGCTGGCTACTCAGAATTCCTTACAGGAGAAGGAAACTTAAAGGTTTGACTTTTTAAATTTGTCTATTTAAGGTGGTTACAACAAACATGTGGTTCTCCCAGAATGAAATTATAGGTTCACCTCCCATCATAGTATTTTTATCTGTTAATGGCAATTGCTAATAACTGTGGGTCAGGCCTTCACGTAACTGTTCCTGTGCCAAAATTTGGGTCATATTGTCTATTTTTCTATACCAGTCAATGAGTCTTGAAGTACTGCTTTGAGATATCAAACCTATGGGAACAGGACGATAGCACTGGATAGTCTGAAACTATTTATTGGCATAATAAACTCTGGTTCCTTGGCATGACCTCTAGCATAAAGCATCAGTATTTCAAAGCCTCATTCATATTGATGCATTGGCATTTGACTGCAGCTTTGAGCAGTTCTACTTAACACACTAGATGCAATAAAACTTTATATTCAGGAACTACTTTTGTACTCCAGCTCAACATCTGTTTTTCAGATCGATGTTTCTGCCTGTCACCCAGCCCTTTTATTACATCAGTGACACACCATGATGTGAGCCTCACCTCTGCCCACTCTTTTCTGGATAGGGCATTGGCTACCTTGTTCTCAAACCCCTCAATATGTTTAATACTCCTGCAAAGCTATACTCCAGTGTATCAATCTGGAGTTGGTTCCTTTTGTTCTCTCGAACCATATTAATGGTGAGTGATCTGTTAACACCCTGAACCACCTGTTGGAATTATCTGAGCTGTTTTACACCCCACACAATAGCGTAACATTCCTTTTCTATTACAGGGTAATTCTGTTCAGTGAGAGACAGATTTTTTGCTCAGAATGCAATGGGGGTTTCTTCCTGGTCTGCATCAGTACATCTCCTAGGCCTGTGTTGGATGCATCAATTCAATTCAAATACTTTCTTAAAATCTGGACTGGCCAAAATGGGTGTGCATCTCTCCCTTGATCTGTTCCCTCATTGTCCCTATAGTTCTGTAAGCCCTTCTATTTACTAGGTGTGCATCACTGGTGTTAATGTGGTGGTCTCTCTGGTAAGTGAAACCAGGTTTGTTAGAGAATACCATTTTTTGACTTTGTAACACAGCCACTACTTTTTTTTTTTTTTTTTTTTTTTAATGGGGGTTAGCCCTTCACTTAAATTAATGCTCTCTAAAGAGTTCTCCCCATTACTCTCAGACATTGAGAGGCATCTGCATAGCATATCCTGTTTACTATAGCCTCTCCGTTATGGTAAGCTTTTACTCTGCTAATATGTACAGTTTGGGGTAAACCCCGACTATAGGGTTTTTGTACCTGATAAGTGACTTCATTTAGTTTCTCTATCACCTCAGAGGGACCCTCCCATGAGAGTATTTCATGCTTTTTGTAGGGGCTAATACCAAAACATCTATATTAAAGGCTCTTTCACTTGTCTTCTTGTCATACCATGCTTTTTGTATAGTTTGGCTTTCTTCAAGATTATGCTGTACCAGCTCCATAATGGTTTTAGCTCTGCCATGAATTTAGATACAAATTCAGTTATATTGAAATGTCTGCTAATGTGTGAGCAGCTGATTTTTGTACTGTTACCACTTAAAAATAAACAGTAGGCAGTAATTTCCAGTGAGATCAGAACAGTTGTATAACAGTCCAGCAAAACTTCTCTATGAAATATCTTGTGAAGATAAACTGATAACCCTAGGTAATATAGTATGTGAGACAGACATAAGAGTTCCAAATGGTGTGGGTTTTTTTACTTGCAAAATGCATCGTAGTTTAGTGATAATGAACACTGTATTTTATCAGTAGAGCAAGTAAAAACATGACAACAGCATCTCTCAGAACACTGTAGTATGAAAGATTATTTCCTGGTCTGGCAGCAAGATCTGAGAGATTTGTTTGGCTCAAGCAATATGGGATGCAGAACATTGATTGTGGACTTATATAAACACATCAAATGCAAAGTCTCTTGGCAACTTGTAAAGGAGCCAAACATCTATCCCTTCAGATATCCTGAGGTGAATTAACGTAACTTTTTTATGTGTATGACTGAGCCATCCCCTCCCCCCTTGCAAATAACAATTCACCAACTGCAGTCAGTGAACATTTACTTGCCCCTAGGAAACACATGAAGTACCAAAGCATATTGCTTACCTATAAAGAGATTTAAAAAGCAATGGCATTAGATAATGGGAGTGCTTGCTGTAACGGGGGTGAAAAAGATACTAGGTGAGCAAGGGAAATTTTTTAAAGGTACTCTCCAAAGCCTAACTTCTTTTGTCTTGACTGCCAAAAAAGAAAAGAAAAGTGAGTTTTATGGGGACTCATAGAAGTGTAGGACTGGAAGGGATCTCAATAGGTCATCTAGTCCAGTCCCCTTCCCTCAAGGTAGGACTAAGTAATAACTAGACCAGGGGTTCTCAAACTTCATTGCACTGCAACTCCCTTCTGACAACAAAAATTACTACACGACCCAGGAGGGGGGACTGAAGCCTGAGCCTGCCTGAGCTCCACTGCCCCTGGCACGGGGGCCAAAGCCAAAAGCCTGATTCCCATCATCCAGGGCTGAAGCCCTTGGGCTTTAGTTTTGGCCCTGCGCGCTGGGTCTCAGGCTTCAGCCCTGGGTGGTGAGGCTAAGGCTTTGGCTTCTGCCCTGGGTGGTGGGGCTCGAGCTTCATCCCTGGTCCCCAGCCAGTCTAACGCCAGCACTGGTGATCCCGTTAAATGGGGTTGCAGCCCACTTTGGGGTCCCAACCCACAGTTTGAGAAACACTGAACTAAACCATTCCTGACAGATGTTTGTCTAATCTGCTCTTAAAAACCTCCAATGACAGAGATTCCACAACCTTCCTAGGCAATTTGTTCCAGTGCTTGTTAATTAACTCAAGGTAAATTCTAGTGAAGGCAATTGTTGTTTTTCACATGAGTTAGCAAGTTGAGTTAAAGTCTAGGCTTTAAGAATACATCTTTTTCTTTTTTTAAAAAAGAGAATATAGGACCTATGATACTTCTCATTAATAGAATTCTGGGAAGCTATAGCTACTGATTGAACTAATTAGTAACCTGCAAAAACGGAAGCTTTCTCTCATTGGTGTGGCTAAAACAAAGCACCACCTCCAGTTGAGACAATGGCATCAACTATATTGTTTCAGCAGCAGCGTGTGCCCATTTGTGTGTGACGGATCATGCAGCTGTGAATCTTGCTTATAAGGCAAAAATTGACACCAGCAACATTAATTGGTTATGGAGTGACGACACTCCTGCCTGATTGGTTACAGGGAGTTCAAAGATTGGATTGAAGCTGAGTTTTGGTTTATACTTAGGGCCCTACCAAATTCACGGCCATGAAAAATGCATCACAGACTGTGAAATCTGGTCTCCCCTGTGAAATCTGGTCTTTTGTGTACTTTTACCCTATACTATACAGATTTCACGGGGGAGACCAGCATTTCTCAAACTGGGGTCCCGACTCAAAAGAGGGCTGTGGAGGGAGGTCACAAGGTTATTGTAAGGTGGTTGCAGTATTGCCACCCTTACTTCTGTGCCGCCTTCAGAGCTGGGTGGCCGGAGAGTGGTGACTGCTGGCCAGGTGCCCAGATCTGAAGGCAGCACACCGCCAGCAGCAGTGCAGAAGTAAGGGTGGCAATACCATACAATGCCACCCTTACTTTCACGCTGCTGCCTTCAGAGTTGGGTCAGGACCCCTACAGTTACAACACCATGAAATTTCAGATTTAAATATCTGAAATCATGAAACTTATGATTTTTTAAATCCTATGACCGTGAAATTGACCAAAATGGACCGTGAATTTGGTAGGGCCCTATTTATACTGTACAATGTTACCTTATTTCGATGGGGAATGCTAAAGTGTGTCTAGTCCTGAGTTACTGCAGGCAGATCATGTACTAGGTAGATGAAATGTTAAAAACACAGGGATTTGGATAAAATGCCACCAGATTTGGAACAATAGTTTTGCACAATTAAGAAATTTCAAATTCTGAAATACAGTAATGACAACTTTTAAGAAATGGAAATATAAACTTCTTTGTCTGTTCATAGGTGTCTGGAGAAGCAAATGAAACTCAGATTTCTGAAGCACTGAAACGGTACAGTGAGCGGGCATTCTTTGTGAGGGAAGCACTCTTTCATCTATTCAGCCTTACACACATTATGGAAAAAACAAAGCCTGAAATTTTAAAGGTAAAACAGTACACTTCAGATGAGAAAATCTTGCCCTGTTCTGTAAGTTTAACTTCAGATGAGCATCTGGAAAGCTTATAATATACTGAAAACTTAGTGTATGTTATGTAGTTTTCTTCTGCCTGTTTAGTTACTTGATATTGCTTAAGAGGTTTAATAGAAATCATTAAGCTTCTGTTAATGTTCATGTGAAAGTGATTTATGTGGTAGTGGTGTGGATGGTGCAAAAGAGTTGATTTTCCTCTGAAAAGAGGCACCAGGCTAATTCAGCAGCAGTATGAATTCATTTTACAAATAAATACTTCTGAATATGGCTTAGAATAGTCTCCTAATATTGCATTATGACATGCTAACTATTGAACAAGTATTGCTTAAAGATAGACAGACTATTGAGTTACCTGTAGGAGTTATTAGACTAAAAGCCTGTCCCTAGGCCACTAGCTTTGTATCATTGGAGCCCCAGAGGTAGTTCAATCTTTATCATTCCAATGGAAGGAGAGATCAGAGAGGTTCAGTTTTCTAACAAAAAAGATTATTGATCAGCATCTTTCAAATTAAACAAATGACTTTAAGAAAATTTCATGATTCTTCCAGCCCTACTGTGTTAGCAGGAGATATTGCTGCTTGATCATGTTAGTGTCAATTGCAAAGAGCGTTTGGATATTCAATCACCAGCAAAGATTACTCTTCCATTTCCCTGTGTATAAGGTATTTGTGACAAGTTTACAAAGCCAAAAACATAACCTGAGAAGGGATGGCTATAGGCCTATGGTAAATTAGCAGTCTTGTTGCTGTAGTAGCATTAAGATTATTTGCTTGAAATAACTGAGCAAAAGCAGAGAGGCTCTTTCGGGATACTGAAATGTCACTTATTTGTTGTTGAATGGGTTGTTGAATTGAGTGAGAGGTAGGGAGGAACTGTGGGGCACCAAATCACCAATGGATCCAGGGTTGCTCTTCAGTATGTGGATTTATATATAATGTGAATATGATTTTGTTTGTCTTTCAGCTCGTGGTTATTGGAATGCGAAATCACCCTCTGAACTTGCCTGTGCAGTTAGCAGCAAGTGCATGTGTGTTTAACTTAACCAAGCAAGATTTAGCAGCAGGCATGCCTGTTCGACTACTGGCTGATGTCACTCACTTACTCCTTAAGGCCATGGAACATTTTCCCAACCATCAACAGGTAAAAATATTAGGTTTCTTTTTTCTGTGGATTTCTCATCTTAACAGGAGGCCTAATAATAGAAATACAGCCCAGGTGCTGTGATGTGTTTCTACTTTTGAGACTATTTTAATGCTATGAAGTATTGACTGTAAGCTAAATAGAGCCTCAGCTGTCTTGTAAACTTGATGGAGATCTAACCATCCCTGTAGATGTTGCAAAACAGTATGAACTTAACAGAGAAGAGGCAAGGTCTGACTCTACCTCAACGATGGCCTTGAACAGATATACCCAAATATGTTTGTGTACAGTATGCACACGTGATATATTGTAACTTGAAAGGCTGCTCTTTGTGACAGTTTTACTCTTAGACTGCAGTACATTAATATAATCACGATGCATGACAGAACTTGTAGAAGTGCAGTTGGATAGTTAACTTACTAGAATTAATGAATCTGTGGTTGTACTATTGCTATGAACTGCGTCACTGTACAATGAGATTCCACCTAACAGGCACTAATAGTAGCTGCATTTTCCCACTGACAAACACATGGGCAAGGAATGTCTGGTGCCTTTCTGTCCTTGATTTTTGCATTCCCTGGAGTCACTTCCCTGTTGAACTTTCTGCCTCATAGGAGTGCAGTTTGTAGAAGCAACGTTCCTCTAGCATGGCCTTTTTAAAGACTTTATTTTACTGAAATCAAACTAATCAACAAGGACAATAAGAGGCAAATAAAAGAATAATGCCTATTGTCATCTTTATCAACCATTGTATGCACAAAACTCAGTAACTGTGCTAAACGTTTCCTCACACAGCAAAAAACAAAGAACCAGAACAGAAAGGAGAGAGACAAACAGGAGAGATACCACCATTAGATATCTGACAGCTATGTCCCAATGGTTATCGCCATGATATTATCATTATCCAGGCAGGATTGAGTTAAGTAAAAGTCCAGAACTGATTGTGTTGTCTTTTACAAAAACAGCCCTAAAGTTTCTGGTAGAGAATTTTGGATATATGGGTACCACTTCTCTCTACATGGTGCCTGTGGGTTATTGCTCAGTAAAGCATGATTAATTGAATGTATTGGAGGAAAGCTTCCCTCCAACGAGGAAGGTGGAAACTTCTTGTGTAGTCCCTAATTACAAAACTCATTTTGGATGATGAGCCGCAAAGTAGCATTAGGTCTGGCAGGATTTGCTTGTGAGGTGTTTCAAAGAGGTCAAGCTCGTTGAAAAGTGTGGGAGATATATCACATTCCACAGGCTGTGAGGAATGAATGCCTACCTTTTTCCAAAAGTTAGCAAATGCCTGATATAATGAAAGAGGCTGCCATTCTCAGCAGTATGTTTTGGGCAATTCTCAGTCTAAAATGTCAACTTTAAAGACTGTGTACTGGGGGCAAATAAGCCCTGTTTTTAATATCTGGTACAGTGTTTCCCTTCCACCATGGGTCTAAAGCAGTGATAATCAGACTGGTGCAACTGGCTCTTTGATGTGAGTCCTACGGCTCTTTGCAGCACATGATATTAAAACACTCTCTGGTTAATAATTAAATCAATGAGGATGCTTTTACTATGTTGTTAACTAATTAAAATATCATCTTGCACTAAGTTATTAACTTATTTGCTGTGAGAATAATATTTAGTTGATATATATATTTCTCCTGTCATTCACACTACTGTGGCTCTTTTGGGTAATGTTGATCACTAATTTGGCTCCTGAACCACTGAGGTCTGAGTATTACTAGTCTAGACCAGGGATCTCAAACTCAAATCACCACGAGGGCCACATGAGGACTAGTACATTGGCCTGAGGGCCGCATCACTGAAATCTTTTCATACAACGATACAAAAGTATTGTCAAAAATGAAGAAGGAAAAAAAAAAAAAGAGTAATACACTATGCTATTAAAAGTCAATGTATTAACTTTTTTTAAAACTGTAATGTGAAGAGGGTTTTTAATAAAATATAAACACCTGTAACTATTCCGTATGTGGTCAGTAACACTGATGATCTACACTAAGAGTCTATCAACACAGCTGTAATGGCAGGAACTTTTTAAAGTAACTATTCATGCAAAGTACATTGCCACTTTTAACAAACAATCTTCCCAACTACTCACAGTAAAGAAGCATATGTGTTGAACTTCATACCTCAGACTGCTCATCTAGTCCATGAGGCCCCGCCCCTGCCCCACCTTTTCCCACCCCCTTCCCCAAAGTCCCCGCCCCAACTCCACCCTCTCCCTGCCCCTATTCCAGAGGTGGGCAAACTTTTTAGGCTGAGGGCCACATCTGGGTGGGGAAATTGTATGCAGGGTTGGGGTGCGGGAGGGAGTGCCGGGTGTGGGAGGGGGTGTGGTGTGCAGGAAGGGGCTCAGGGCAAGGGATTGGGGCAGAGGTGGGGTGTGGAGTGTATGAGGGGGCTCAGGGAAGGGGATTGGGGTGCACAGGGGTGCAGGGGACAGCAGGGGGTTCAGGGCAGGGAGTTGGGGTGCAGGAGGGATGCAAGGTGCAGGCAGGGGGCTTAGGGCAGGGAGCTGGGGGGCAGGGGTGCAGGAGGACTTCAGGCTGTGGGCTGGCAGCGGCATGCACCGGGGCCAGGGCAGGGTCCCTGCCTGCTTGCCCTGTCCCCAGCCCCGCGCCGCTCCAGGAAGCCGCCCCTGGAGGATGCGGGGGCAGAGGGCTCCATGTGTGCTGCCTTTGTTGCGCCTCTAGGTACCTCCCGCGAAGCTCCCATTGGCCACGGTTCCCTGTTCCTGGCCAATAGGAGCTGCGGGGGGGCTGTGCCTGGAGGCAAGAGCAATGCACGGAGCCCTCTGCCACCCTGCCCAGGGCTGTGGTGCCGGCTACTTCTGGAGAGGGCGCGGGGCCAATGGCGCCACGGGAGGCAGTCCCGCAGGCCGGATCCAAAGTCCTGAGGGGCCGGATCTGACCCGCGGGCCATAGTTTGCCCACCCCTGCCCTATTCCAACCCCTTCCCCAAATCCACGTTCCGGCCCCGCCGTTTCTCCGCCTCCTCCCCCGAGCCACGTCCCCACTCCGCCCCTTCTTCCCCCCCCCCGAAAAGTCCTAAGGACTGCCTGGAAGCGCTGGGAGGTAGATGGAGGAGCAGAGATGCGGCGTGCTTGGGGCGGGGGGGGGTGGGGGTACCCGAGGGGGAGGGGAGCTTGGCTGCCAGTGGAGTCGCCGCCTATGGGGGAGGCCGCAGGAAATAACTCCATGGGCCGTGTGTTTGAGACCCCGGTCTAGACAGTTTTGATACAGACCTCTTTTTCCAAATATTTTGGGGGTATTTCTTTACCCAAGTCCACTTCCAAAGGTTTTCTAGTATTTTCCTCTGTGGGCAACAAATTAACCATTTTTATAGTATGGATTTTAGAGATCATGAATGATTTGCAGATCTCATTAATTGTGATAGGATAACTGGCTTAGAGTGCTCTGTGTTTTGGGATATAGCTTTGAAGAAAGTTATGGATTTTTTTAAAACTGTTTCTCCCACCTTATTGGACCATTGAGTTTAATTGTAAGAGGAAGAAATGTTCTAGGTGCAAGACTATAGTACAGCCAATTATATCTCTGTAGCCATGTCTACCTGGCTCTTATTAAGTTGTTGACCCTACCCATTTGGAGGTCAATTATTAATAGTCATTCTAGAAACCTTAATTAACAATAAGAAATTGGCATTGTACAACTTGACACCAGTTTCACCCCCAAAAAGCCTTTATACTTTGTATTGGGTAAAGAGACCATGCGAAACTTGACTCCCTAGTATTGTATGGCACATTCTCTAGTGAAGAGGGTGTTATTGTTATGTAAAGGACTTTGCTTTGTTCTAGAAAAATGTGAGTGTTTTTGATTTGACACTTCTCTTGTTTAGAAGTATAACCATTTACAGTACAGTACATGATCCATCAAACTCCACGATTCTTATCTAACAAGGAAGCACTTTGCAATTTTTGTATTTTTCTGCTGAACACTTTTTTGATCTCATACAGCTGCAGAAGAACTGCCTTCTTTCACTATGCAGTGACAGGATCCTTCAGGATGTTCCATTTAACAGGTAAATTTAATCCTATTAATTAAAATGGGATGTAGAGTAACATATCAATGGGTTTTGGTTGTTGTTTTTTAATCTCCTGGATTGTAGCATTTATTTTTGAAATATGCTAATTGTTGGCCTAGTCTCAGGAAAAATAGAACTCTGCCATTTTGGAGACCAGATATTGATTCATAGGGTTAGATTCTGATCTCAGATCCCATAGTAACTCACTTGTGTATACACGAGAAATTTTTGGGGCCCATAATTCACAATTATATGGATTATAGGTCTGAAAAAATCCTTGTCTAGACAAGGGAATTGACTTCAGTTAATTTACTCCAGCTTTACACTGGTGTAACAGAGGTCAGAATTTAATCTCCAGTTTGCTGACTCTCTCTGGAATTGTGGAAGTGAGTTTTGTCATTTTTAAGTGGTCCCTTTATTTAGAAACGTCGTTGGAAGGCTTTGGAAGGTTTGCATCCAACATGCCTAGGTCAGATGATGAAGGATAAAGAAAGTGAGGGGTTATCTCTGGTCTTGAGCCAATTCTCCTTCAGCTCTTTACAAAAGAGAACCTTGTGCTTTTATATTAAACGTCTAGTAAAAGAGACAGTGGGGGAGCAGATCCTGAAATCTGAGTAATCCCTGTGATCTTGGCCTAACTGAAGATTTTATATTTTTTGTAGCAGGCTGGCAGACTGTAAGCTCTTCACGTTTTCAGTAGAGATTTCTGTTGGTGGTGTTCCTTGGTTTACCTAAAAGCTGTTGTAAAAGCTGATGTTGAAACTTTTCTGAGGGTATGTCTATACTACCCACCGGATCGGCGGGCAGAGATCGATCCAGCGGGGGTCGATTTATCATGTCTAGTCTAGACGTGATAAATGGACCCCGAGCACTCTCCCATCGACTCCTGTACTCCACTGCCACGAGAGGCGGAGTCGACGGGGGAGTGGTAGCAGTCGACTCACCGCAGTGAAGTAGGTCTAAGTACATCAACTTTAGCTATGTTATTCATGTAGCTGAAGTTGCGTAACTTAGATCGATCCCCCCCAGTGTAGACCAGGCCTTTGTGTTGCTCTGTAAATTTCACTCATTGCGTGGGCCTGACACTAGCTTTGCCTGCTCTTAATTCCAATGTTCACTTCCACCTGCTTGGGACAAAGCACAGTGCTTCCGATTTCTACTGCATGGGGGCATCCTGGTCTGATGTGCGGTGTGTATTTTCTGTTTCAAAGGCTTATGCAACTTCTGTTCTGAAAATAAAAACTGTTAACTTTCAGATTTGAAGCAGCCAAGCTTGTTATGCAGTGGCTATGTAACCATGAAGATCAAAATATGCAGAGGATGGCAGTGGCTATCATCTCCATTCTAGCTGCAAAGGTACAAGACTTATACATGTAGAAGTGCTGAAGTATAATTTCCCAGGTCCTGATGAATTTTCTGATATTCACCTAATGTTTTTGTTTATAGCTTTCAACTGAGCAAACAGCTCAACTTGGTGCAGAGCTCTTCATTGTTAGGGTAAGTCCAATGCTGTGTCTTACAAATTGCTACCCTGGATCTCCTATTTTAAATCATTTTGAAATTGGCTACAGTTAGATGTATTCTATTAAACTAAAAATAAGTAGTTAAATTTTACCTTCTGTCAGGACTGCTACCAGGAAAAGATTGGCATTCCAGACTGTCAGGAGAGGACTCTGTCACCATGTTAATGAGGGTGGCCTTTAGGCCCAGCTAAATAGAAGCCAAAGTAAATAACTTGATTGCGTCAGGACTTAAATGACTGCAGTATGGATGGAAAACTCAACTCTGACTCAAACTTTTTATTATTTGCAATTTACTTTACCTTGAAAACAAGCTCCCGTGGACATGTTTACTTTGCCATGCAGGTACAGTACATAGGGCCACCGTGATGTCAGCTGGCTGCAGCAATACATAGAGGGTAAACTAAGTATCTCACACCTTTTAAAAAAGTTTAACATGTTTTTACTGGAGTTTGGAATAAAATTGTGACACAGAACAAACTATCAGAAGTCATTGTTCATGGGACCTGGTTTCAGGAGCAGTTTGATGGCTTCAACTTCAGGGCAGTGGAAATACACATTTCAGAAATGGCTCTCTCAATTTCTTGAGAGAAACTATAATGCAAAACACATCTCTGCTGGCGCCTTACTTATGGCCAACCAGTATACCAAACTACATTTCCTTAATGTCTGTGCAGGATAGATGTTCAAGAGGAAGCTATTGATCAGTTATAAATCTTAATTCTCGTCAGAAGAAATTAGGTGTCTTAGTGGAATTCATTGCAGAAACAAAAAAGTCAGACACTTGATCCAGTTTATTTGATGCAAGTCACTAAAAGTAGTGACTACTAGTTATTAAACACCCAGACAGAGGCTTAAATTAGTATTTAATATTTTCCCCTACCAACCTTAGTTTAATGTTTTTCTTTTTTTTTTTTTTAAATGTGCAATAGAATATTTAGGAAAAATTGCCACTGCTTGAAACAATCAAATGGAGGTGGTGGTCTTGTACAGTTGGCCCATAACAATCCTGCAAGAGGTTTAAGAGGTAGAGAGATGGGAAAAAACAACAACCCACAAACATGTAGGAACAAAATTAAAAAGGCCAAGGTACAAAACAGGATTAAACTAGCTAGGGACAAAAAATGTTTTCTTGTTACCCTTTACAAATACATTAAAAGCAAAAGGGAGACCAAGGACAGGTAGGCCCATTACTCAACAAGGAGGGAAAGGCAATAACAGAAAACGCAGCAATTTTTTTGCCTCCTTTTTCACCAAAAAGGTTAGCAGTGATTGGACATTTAACACAGTGAACATCAGTTTAAATGGGGTAGGATCTGAGGCTAAAATAGGGAAAGAACAAGTTAAGAGTTACGTAGACAAATTAGATGTCTTCAGGTTGGCAGGATCCGATGAAATACATCCAGGATATTGAAGGAACTGGCAGAAGAGGTTTCTGAGCACCTAGTGATTATTTTGAGAGCTCATGGAAAGATCCCAGAGGAGTGGAAAAGGGAACATATAGTACCTATCTATAAAAAAGGGAATAAGGACAACCGATGGAATTATAGATCAGTCATCTTATCCTCGGTACCAGGAAAGATAATAGAGCAAATAATCAAACAATCAGCTTGTAAGCACCTAGAAGATAACGTGATAAGTGACAGTCAACATAGATTTGTCAAAAAAAAAAAAAAAAATCATGTCAAACCAACCTAACATACTACTTTGACAGGGTAGCAAGCCTTGTGGTTGGGGGGGGAAAGCAGTAGATGTGAATCTCGAGTTTAGTAAGGTTTTTTGATACTGTCTCATAAGCAAACTAGGGAGATATACCCTAGATGAATCTACTGTAAGATGGATGAACAACTGGTTGGAAAACTGAACGCAGAGAGTAGTTATTAATGGTCCACAGTCAAGCTGGAAGGGTATATTGAGTGGGGTCCCACAGGGATCTGTCCTGAGTCTGGTACTATTCAATATCTTAAAAAATGATTTGGATAATGGCATAGAAAATACACTTACAAAGTTTGTGGACAATACCAAGCAGGGAGGGGTTGCAAGCATTTTGGAGGACAGGATTAGAATTCAAAATGATCTTGGCAAACAGGAAAAATGCTCTGAAATAAATAGGATGAAATTCAATAAGGACAAATCCAAAGTACTACTCTTAGGAAGGAATAATCAATTGCATAAATGACTGCGTAGGATGGAGTATTGTAGAAAAGATCACAAACTAAATATAAGTCAACAATGTAATACTGTTGCCAAAAAAGCTAACATCATTCTGGGATATATTAGCAGAAGTGTTGTAAGCAAGACATGAAAGGAATTCTTCCACTGTACTCAGCACTGCTAAGGTCTCCTCTGGAATATTATGTCCAGTTCTGGGTACCACACTTTAGGAAAGCTCTGGACTTTCTCAAATTTGTCCAGATAAGAGCAACAAAATCATTAAAGGTCTAGAAAACATGATCTACAAGGAAAGATTGGAAAAAAGTGGGTTTGTTTCATAGAATCATAGAATATCAGGGTTGGAAGGGACCTCAGGAGGTCATCTAGTCCAACCCCCTGCTCAAAGCAGGACCAATTCCCAACTAAATCATCCCAGCCAGGGCTTTGTCAAGCCGGGCCTTAAAAACCTCCAAGGAAGGAGACTCCACCACCTCCCTAGGTAACGCATTCCAGTGCTTCACCACCCTCCTAGTGAAATAGTGTTTCCTAATATCCAACCTAGACCTCCCCCACTGCAACTTGAGACCATTGCTCCTTGTTCTGTCCTCTGCCACCATTGAGAACAGCCGAGTTCCATCCTCTTTGGAACCCCCTTTCAGGTAGTTGAAGGCTGCTATCAAATCCCCCTTCATTCTTCTCTTCTGGAGACTAAACAATCCCAGTTCCCTCAGCCTCTCCTCATAAGTCATGCGCTCCAGACCCCTAATCATTTTTGTTGCCCTCCGCTGGACTCTTTCCAATTTTTCCACATCCTTCTTGTAGTGTGGGGCCCAAAACTGGACACAGTAATCCAGATGAGGCCTCACCAATATCGAATAAAGGGGAATGATCACGTCCCTCGATCTGCTGGCAATGCCCCTACTTATACAGCCCAAAATGCCGTTAGCCTTCTTGGCAACAAGAGCACACTGTTGACTCATATCCAGCTTCTCGTCCACTGTGACCCCTAGGTCCTTTTCTGCAGAACTGCTACCTAGCCATTCGGTCCCTAGTCTGTAGCTGTGCATGGGATTCTTCCGTCCTAAGTGAAGGACTCTGCACTTGTCCTTGTTGAACCTCATCAGGTTTCTTTTGGCCCAATCCTCTAATTTGTCTAGGTCCCTCTGTATCCGATCCCTACCCTCTAGTGTATCTACCACGCCTCCTAGTTTAGTGTCATCTGCAAACTTGCTGAGAGTGCAGTCCACACCATCCTCCAGATCATTAATAAAGATATTAAACAAAACCGGCCCCAGGACCGACCCTTGGGGCACTCCGCTTGAAAGTGGCTGCCAACTAGACATGGAGCCATTGATCACTACCCGTTGAGCCCAACGATCTAGCCAGCTTTCTATCCACCTTACAGTCCGTTCATCCAGCCCATACTTCCTTAACTTGGCAGCAAGAATACTGTGGGAGACCGTATCAAAAGCTTTGCTAAAGTCAAGGAATAACACATCCACTGCTTTCCCCTCATCCACAGAGCCAGTTATCTCATCATAGAAGGCAATTAGGTTAGTCAGGCACGACTTCCCCTTGGTGAATCCATGCTGACTGTTCCTGATCACTTTCCTCTCCTCTAAGTGTTTCATAATTGATTCATTGAGGACCTGCTCCAAGATTTTTCCAGGGACTGAGGTGAGGCTGACTGGCCTGTAGTTCCCCGGATCCTCCTTCTTCCCTTTTTTAAAGATGGGCACTACATTAGCCTTTTTCCTGCTGGAGAAAAGAAGATTGAGGGGGGACATAAGTTTCAAGTATGTACAAGGTTGTTACAAAGAGGAGGGCAATAAATTGTTCTCCTTATCCAGTGATGACAGGACAAGAAGCAATGGGCTTAAATTGCAGCAAAGGAAATTTAGGTTAGACATTAGGAAAAACTTCCTAACAGTAAGGAATGTTGAGGAGTGGAAATAATTACCTAAGAAGGTTGTGGAATCTCCATAATTGGAGATGTTCTTTCATCATCTAACATGTTCTTTCATTTAAGAACATGTTAAACACCTGTAAGGGATGGTCTAGATAATACTTAGTCCTATCTCAGTACAAGGAACTGCACTAGATGACCTATCAAAGTCTCTTCCAGTCCTACATTTCTATGATGCTATGAATATGCTTGCTCTCTTATAAAAGAATGCAAGCATAGGGCGTGTAGGAAAATAATTAGGAGAAATATACAGAAAAACTGACTGTGTTAATCACTAAGGATATAAATCTCCATTCTAATCAGAGATGCAGTTACCCTAGTCATTGCCCTAGTCTGTGCATAAGTAAACAAAGATGATGATATAGGAATAGAGCACACAACTTCAAAGCTAACTGTCCTTTTTGTTCTTCCTTTTTCAGCAACTTCTACAAATAGTTAAGCAGAAAACAAATCAGAATCTAGTGGATACTACACTCAAGTTTACACTGAGTGCGCTTTGGAATCTCACTGATGAATCTCCAACCACATGTAGGCACTTTATTGAAAATCAAGGTCTAGAACTCTTCATGAGAGTCTTAGAGGTGAGGACTATGGTTTATGCGGTGGATTGCATTCCTTCGTTCTAAAATTTCAGCATTAACAAACCATTATTTTGTGGCTTACATAAGCTATATTTCACTTTACAGTCTTTCCCATCTGAGTCGTCTATCCAACAGAAAGTTCTTGGCCTTCTGGTAAGAAGAATAGAAAAATTATAAATTTCACAGAAATACAAGTTGTTCTTAATTGTCTCCCTATTTAATTTCTATTTGAGAATTGGCTTAGATGGTACACTGTTAATTATACTTTATTTTCTTAACCTTTAATCTTACATATTGGGTTCTTGTGAGCTATGCATTTGACATCATGATTTTTAGACTACATTGCCAGTGTTCCCAAAGCACCACCTTATGTAGGAGTGGCTATTTAATAGTTATTATGGACAGTCTGAGCCTTCAGGAAAGGGTAGGGAGTAAGTCCTCAAATGACTTCAAGGACTCAAAAGAAGGTTAAAGGTTGAAAGTCAATGGGACTTTAGGGTCCTAAATCACTCTGGGTAAATTCTCAAAAGGATCTGTTTAGAAGTTTTTATTCTTTTTTAAAATAAGAGCATAAATAAGTTAGTGATCTATGTCTTAATGGTTTGAGGGAGTCTTTCATGGAAGGGAATGTTGGAGGTAGGAAGTGAAAGCCATTAACTTTTTAGACAAATTCAGAGTAAAACGGGGAGATTTTCAAAGGCAAAATTGGCAGTTAGATGCCTAGCTCCCATCTATGACTTTGAAATTTGCCTCTAATATCAATACATATAACTGAGTTAAAGTTAGACACCCATTAATACATCATTATTTCTATTGATATTTTCTCAATTCTGTTTTCCTACAGAACAACATAGCAGAAGTGAAAGAGCTACATTCTGAGCTAATGTGGAAGGACTTCATAGACCACATCAGTAAACTATTGCACAGTGTTGAGGTAGAAGTCAGTTACTTTGCAGCCGGGATTATTGCTCACTTGATATCTCGAGGAGAGCAGGCCTGGACATTGAGTCACACTCAGAGGACATCTCTTCTTGAACAACTGGTACAGAAATAGCTAAAAATATTCCCTGCTTTTGTGTTATATTAATGTTAATTGCCTGTAATTAGCATTAAGTATTTCAGCACTTGGTTCTCTATCTTGCAGCACTCAGCCATTTTGAATTGGCCAACGCCAGAATGTGAGATGGTTGCCTACAGGTAACTATTGCCTTGATTTAAAGTTTGGAAAATACTAATTCTAGCACCCTTCAACTTGCTCTAAAAATTACAGATCTGTGCCTGAAGCATTGTAGGCTGCCTGCCAAACCATGCTTCTGGACTGTAACCTCTAATATCTCACCTTGGACAAGGTGGCTTGACCTTTGGGAGTGAAGGGGGAAATGAGTCAGCCTGGGTCTCCTTTCAGAGCCAAATATAGGGCTGTTCTTTTCCTGTCTCCTACTACAGCCTGCCTTACCTCTTTAGCTAAACTTTCGAATTAATGTTCAAAGGATCATATGAAGAAACTAAACAGCATATTAGCTATTGAGCTACAGTAATATAGGGTGGTATTGTATGCCACAGATTCTGGGTTTTAAGGCTGGAAAGGACCATTAGATCATCTTGTATGACCTCTTCTATAACACAGGTCAGGTACTCCTGCCTGTAAGTAATGTGAGGCACCAGATGCTATGGCAGGGGTGGGCAAACTATGACCCGCGGACCGGATCCGGCCCCTCAGGGCTTTGGATCCAGCCCGTGGGATTGCCCCCTGTGGCACCGTGGGCCTGGCATCACTCTCAGAAGCGGTCCCCGGGCGGGGGATCAGAGGGCTCCGCATGCGTTGTCCTTGCCTCCAGGCACCGCCCCCCCGCAGCTCCCATTGGCCGGGAATGGGGAACTGCGGCCTATGGGAGTTTCGGAGGTGGGGGGGGAGATTCCTGGAGGCGCGGCAAGGGCAGTGCACACTGAGCCCTCCGCCTCCCCTCCCCCAGGGGCGACAGCACTTCCTGGAGCAGCGCGGGGCTGGGGACAGGGCAGGCATGCAGGGAGCCTGCCCTGGCCCAAGTGCGCGCTGCTGCCACCCTGGAGCCGCTTTAGGTAAGCGGCGCCAGGCTGGAGCTTGAACCCCTCCTGCACCCCGCCCCCCAACTCCCTGCCCTAAGCCCCCTGCCTGCACCTCGCATCCCTCCTGCACCCCAACTCCCTGCCCTGAGCCCCCTGCTGCACCCTGCACCCCTCCTGCACCCCAACCCCTGCCCTGAGCCCCCTCCCGCAGTCCGCAACCTTCCTCTGCCCCAATCCCTTGCCCTGAGCCCCCTCCTGCACACCACACCCCACACTCCCTCCCAAACCCCTGCATACAACCGGCCCTGCATACAATTTCCCCACCCAGATGTGGCCCTCGGCCCAAAAAGTTTGCCCACCCCTGTGCTATGGCTTAGAGTCATGATTTACTAGTAAATAACATAAATAAACTATTTTAAGCCCTGGGAACAAATGTCAAATACTGCATCCAAGACTCTAACACAGCGGTTACACCCAAAGTGGGTTGAGACCCTATTGTAATGGGGTCGCCAAGACTGGCATTAGACTTGATGGGACCCAGGGTCGAAGCCCGAGTCCCACCGCCCGGAGCCAAAGCCCGAGCCCCACTGCCCGGGGCCAAAGCCCGAGGGCTTCAGCCCTGGATGGCGAGGCTCAGGCTTTGGCCCCCCCACCTGGGCAGTGGAGCTTGGGCTTTGGCTCCTCTGCCCCGGGTGGTGGGGCTTGGGCGGGCTCAGGCTTTGGTCCCCCCTACTGGGGTCATGTAGTAATTTTTGTTGTCAGATGGGGGTCGTGGTGCAATGAAGTTTGAGAACCCCTGCTCAAACATATCACAATTGTCTTTCTTACCTAGACCCTTAACTAAATATGTAGTGAAGGTATGGTCTCGGTAGTAATGGTATCCAGTAGCCAAATGAAGTGCTGAGCATCTGTTTTTGTTTTTTATCTGTAGGTCTTTCAATCCTTTTTTCCCACTACTTGGCTGCTTCATGACGCCTGGGGTTCAGCTGTGGGCAGTGTGGGCCATGCAGCATGTCTGCAGCAAAAACCGTATGTACTAGGAATAAAACAACATTTAAATTCCTCTCTCTTAACATATAGTCTACCAGGATAACTAAAAGAATCCAGGAAGTTCTAATGGTCTTCATCCTTAACTCTGATGGGAAAAGACATGTTAAGGTTTTGCTTAAAATAGGGGCAGAAACTCTTTTTAAACTATACTATTTTATCTACATAGATTTTATTTTTGATATGCAAATTAATTCAAAATAGATGCATGTTAAACAAATACTTCATTGGGCTTTCTAGAAATGCATTTTGTTCAGAAATTTCAGCAATAAATAAAATATAAAGTTATGGACAATATAAATTCTGATTCCATTTAAAGAAGACCAGAGAGTATAGCAAGCAGTAATCTCCTGGGGATTTGTGGTCATCCTGGTTCTTCTTCGAGTGCTTGTTCATGTCAATTCCATTCTAGGTGTGTGCGTGCCCACGTGCACAGTCATCGGAGACTTTTGCCTTAGCAGTATCCGTAGGGTTGGCTGCGGCGCCCCCTTGAGTGCTGTGCTCATGTGGCGGAATATCAGGCACCGCCGACCCTACGCCTTCTCAGTTCCTTCTTACCGCCCATGATGGTTGTTTGGAGCGCCTTGTCTTGCATTGCAAAAGTGTTAGCAGTTTTTTCAACCCATTGTTCTGTCTCCTCTGTAGTTAGTTTTTAGGTACTTTAGTTTGACCAAGTGTTAGATAGTTTTAGTAGTTAGAGTCCTGACTGGGACTTCGCTGCGGCGCGGGGCATGTCCGGTTCCCCAGGCTTTAAGCCATGTTCATCGTGTACCCAGCTGATGCCTATTAGTGACCCCCACGATAGCTGTTTGAAGGGTCTGGGGGAATCACACAGAAAAGACAAGTGCAGGATCTGCAAGAACTTTCACCTTTGAACTCAAAAGGAGTGGGATATCCGCTTGAGGGCTCTCCTCATGGAGGCTGCACTTCATCCTGGGTTGGAGCCCTCCCAGTTGTAGTCCACGCTAAGTACTTCGGTATTGGTGTGCAGCACAGCACACCGCCAGCACCAGAACCTGCCCGGCACCGTTCCCCTTCGCTGGTGCCCAAGAAGCAGCTGAAGCCCAAAGGCCCATCAGCACCCCAGGACAAAGGGGCTTCGGGCAAAGGATCTGTGCTAGGTCACATGTCCACCCCGGAGCTGTTGTGGTCTGACCCCCTAGCCCAGTCAGGGATCTGCCTCCGATTCCTCAAGAGCGGCAGGGGATCCTGGCCCCTCATAAGGCCACTTGTGCCCGAGGTGGCCCTGGCAGCCAAGAACCAAGTAGACTGGCCCGCACCTCAGGTACCAAGCCAGGCGATGGACCCGGTTAAGGCCCAGACCTCTAAGGGCAAGCCGGTTATGGGACCTCCCTCCAAAGCAATGGAGCATCCTTGGTCCCCAGATTGCAGGCATTGATCCCCGTCACCACGGCATAGGACCCCGGTGCTGCAGCCTCGATCTCTGGTTAGAAGACCCAGGTTCGTAGGCAGGAGATTTAGACTGAGCTGGATGAGCGAGCATCTCAGATGGGTGATTAAGAAAAAACAGAAAGCGTACAAGGAGTGGAAGATGGGAGGGATCAGCAAAGAAACCTACCTTATTGAGGTCAGAGCATGTAAAGATGGAGTGAGAAAGGCCAAAAGCCGTGTAGAGTTGGACCTTGCGAGGGGAATTAAAACCAATAGTAAGAGGTTTTATAGCCATATAAATAGGAAGAAAACAAAGAAAGAAGAAGTGGGACCGCTTAAGACTGTAGATGGAGTGGAGATTAAGGATAATCTAGGCATGGCACAATATCTAAACTAATATTTTGCATCGGTCTTTAATGAGGCTAATGAAGGATTTAGGAATAGTGGCAGCGTGATGGATGGGAATAAAGGAGGGGGGGTTGACATTACCGTATCCGAGGTAGAAGCCAAACTCGAACAGCTTAACGGGACTAAATCGGGCGGACCGGATGATCTTCATCCGAGAATATTAAAGGAACTGGCGCGAGAAATTGCAAGCCCGTTAGCGATAATTTTTAATGAATCTGTAAACTTGGGGGTGGTACCGTTGGACTGGAGAATAGCTAATGTGGTTCCTATTTTCAAGAAGGGGAAAAAAGGTGACCCGGGTAACTACAGGCCTGTTAGTTTAACATCTGTAATATGCAAGGTCTTGGAAAAAAATTTTGACGGAGAAAGTAGTTAAGGACCTTGAGGTCAATGGCAATTGGGGCAAATTACAACACGGTTTTACGAAAGGTAGATCGTGCCAAACAAACCTGATCTCCTTCTTTGAGAAAGTAACAGATTTTTTAGATAAAGGAAATGCGGTGGATCTAATATACCTCGATTTCAGTAAAGCGTTTGATACGGTACCGCATGAGGAATTATTGGTTAAATTGGAAAAGATGGGGATCGATATGAAAATCCAGAGGTCGATAAAGAACTGGTTAAAGGGGAGACTGCAGCGGGTCATACTGAAAGGTGAACTGTCAGGTTGGAGGAAGGTTACCAGTGGAGTTCCTCAAGGTTCGGTTTTGGGTCCGATTTTATTTAATCTATTTATTACTGACCTCGGAACCGAATGTAGGAGTGGGCTGATAAAGTTTGCGGATGATACAAAGTTGGGAGGTATTGCCAATTCGGAGAAGGATCGGGATATCCTGCAGGGAGATTTGGATGACCTTGTAAACTGGAGTAATAGTAATAGGATGAAATTTAATAGTGAGAAGTGTAAGGTTATGCAATTAGGGATGACTAACAAGAATTTTAGTTATAAGCTGGGGACGCATCGATTGGAAGTAATGGAAGAGGAGAAGGACCTCGGAGTTCTGGTTGATCGCAGGATGACTGAGTCAGCAATGTGACGTGGCCGTGAAAAAAGCTAATGCGGTCCTGGGATGCATTAGGCGAGGTATTTCTAGTAGGGATAAGGAGGTGCTGGTTCCGTTATACAAGGCACTGGTGAGACCTCATTTGGAGTACTGTGTGCAGTTCTGGTCTCCCATGTTTAAAAAGGATGAATACAAACTGGAACGGGTACAGAGAAGGGCCACTAGGATGATCCGAGGAATGGAAAACCTGTTGTATGAAAGGAGACTCGAGGAGCTTGGTTTGTTTACCTTAACCAAAAGAAGGCTGAGGGGGGATATGATTGCTCTCTTTAAATATATCAGAGGGATAAATACCAGGGAGGGAGAGGAATTATTTCAGCTCCGTACTAATGTGGACACGAGAACAAATGGATATAAACTGGCCGTCGGGAAGTTTAGGCTTGAAATTAGAGGAAGGTTTCTAACCGTCAGAGGGGTGAAGTTCTGGAACAGCCTTCCGAGGGTAACAGTGGGGGCGAAAGATCTCTCTGGCTTTAAGATTAAGCTTGATAAGTTTATGGAGGGGATAGTTTGATGGGATAACGTGATTTTAGTCAATAGGTCAATAACGTGCCATCGCTGGTAATTAGTAACAATGGTCAATGATGGGATATTAAAAGTTACTACAGAGAACTTTTTTCCGGAGGGTCTGGCTGGATAATCTTGCCCGCATGCTCGGGGTTCAGCTGATCGCCATATTTGGGGTCGGGAAGGAATTTTCCTCCAGGGTAGATTGGCAGAGGCTGGAGGTTTTTCGCCTTCCTCCGCAGCATGGGGCGTGGGTCGCTTGCTGGAGGATTCTCTGCGACTTGAAGTCTTTAAATCATGATTTGGGGACTTCAACAGCTGAGTCAAGAGAGAGAGAATTATTCCAGGAGTGGGTGGGTCCGCTTTTGTGGCCCGCATCATGCGGGAGGTCAGACTAGATGATCATAATGGTCCTTTCTGACCTTAAAGTCTATGAGTCTCTAACACCAAGGTTGCCACCTATGAGGCGTGGGATGCCTGAGTTGCGATGCCCATCCCTGTATCTGCGGTACCTCCAGCCTCCCGCCAGAGATCGCTGCAGTGCAGATCCTCATCGCCTAGGCAGTCCCCCTGGTGTCAATCTCTCTCGGTGCGGGATCGTTCCCGGTCGTGGCACCAGTCTCCGACTCCCCGATACTGCTCTTCAGGCAGGCACTGTTTCCTTACCGGTCGCCGACGAGGGTCAGCTGACAGACTTGGGCATCTACGGCTGTGCCCTGGTTGCCAGAAAGGCAGTGGTCCGAGATGGAGGGAGAGTTCAGCCCCTCACCTAGGTGGCTGCTCCATTTCGTCTACCGCTCCGGCTGGATTTGCTGTCACAAAACCTCAGCACCTTCCTGCACACGAACCTAGCAGCATTGCACTTAACGGCTTGGCTGCTGCATGGCTAAATGTGGAGGAGCAGGAGTGCTCGGCTGGAGTCCAGCAAGTCTTACTGGCCGGAGAAAGCCCTCCACTAGAGTGACCTACACAGCCAAGTGGAGGCAGTTTATGTGCTGGTCCTCAAATAAAGGCATTCAGCCCGAGAAGTCTTTGCTGCATTTAATCCTGGACTACCTTCTGCACCTCAAGCTCCAAGGCCTGTCCCTGTCATCCATTAAGGTCCATCTGGCTGCTATTTTGGCTTTCCACCTGCCATTAGAGGGCAGGTCGGTTTTCATCCATGGCATGACTGTCAAGGGCCTTGAGTGCCTCTACTCGCACATCAGGGACTCAGTCCCTCCGTGGACCTAAATCTCGTGTTATCTTGGCTCATGGCACCCCCCGCCCCCTTTGAGCCTCTGGCTTCCTGTTCTTTCCTCCTCCTCCTTCCTTGGAAAGTTGTGTTCTTGGTTGCAATAACCTCAGCCTGCAGGGTCTCTGAGATTAGGGTACTTACTTTGGAACCGCCCTATACAGCTTTTACAAGGACAAGGTCCAACTGTGTCCACACCTGGCCTTCCTGCCCAAGGTGGTCTCCCAGTTTCATGTGGGCCAGGACGTTTATCTACCCGTCTATTTTCTGAAGCCCTATAAGTTGGAGGAGTGTTAGCTGCATTCCTAGATGTTAGAAGGGCGCTAGCCTTCTACATTGAACGGACCAAGCCACTCCGCAAATCTACACAGCTGTTCGTTGCAGTGGCCAACAGAATGAAAGGTCATCCAGATTCTGCTCAAATAATTTCTACTTGGATCACCACCTTCTTCGCTACTGCTATGACCAGGCGAAGGTGCCACCTCTAGTGATTGTCACCGCCCACTCAACCAGGGCGCAAGCCTCTTTGACAGCTTTCCTAGCCCAAGTGCCTATCCAGGACATCTGTAGGGCGGCCACGTGGTCATCAAGCCACACGTTCATGTTCTATTACGCGCTTACCCAGCAGGCCTGGGATGATCCTGGCTTCGGTAGAGCAGTATTGCAAGCCACTAGGCTGTGAACTCCAAGCTCATGTCCGAGGATACTTGAGTCACCTAGAATGGAATCGAGATGAGCAAGCACTCGAAGAAAAAACAGTTACCTACCTTTCGTAACTGTAGTTCTTCAAGATGTGTTGCTCATGTCCATTCCATTACTGCTCTCCTGCCCCCTGTCAAGATTTGCCGGCAAGAAGGAACTGAGAGAGCGTAGGATTGGCGGTGCCTGAAATGCCAACGCATGAGCACGGCACTCAAGGAGGATATCGCTAAGGCAAAAGTCTCCGACAACTGTGCATGTGGGTGCGCAAAACCTAGACTGGAAGGGACATGAGCAACGCATTTCTAAGAACAACAGTTACGAAAGGTAGGTAACCGTTTGTTTTATTCTAATCTCCATTCTGGAATCATAGGATTGGAAGGGACTTCAGAAGGTCATCTAGTCCAGCCCCCTGCTCAAAGCAGGACCAATCCCCAGACAGATTTTTACCCCAATTCCCTAAATGGTCCCCTCAAGGATTGAACTCTCAACCTGGGTTTAGCAGACCAATGCTCAAACCACTGAGCTATCCCTTCCCCCCCCATGACTTGCTGTGTATCATGAAGTGGGTTTCTTAATATCAATGCCCCATTTGAGATCTGATGAAAGGTGCCATAAGAGAAAAGTATTAATTCCCTTAGAGTACCTAAATGCAACATGACTGAACAAACTCACTACTTTCAATGCTCATTGTTTCTATTTCTCATGTGATTTAGGTGCATGTGCCCTCACTGCTCTCCATACTGTATGTGTATAGCAGCTTTCCTCTCAGAGATCAATGAGTTACTTTCAGTGCTGGTGTGTAATGCCATTAACCGCAATAGCTTTGTGCCTGCTTATATCAGGGCCAAAAATCACTTCTTCCAGAACAGAAATGCATGTATACAACAGCACACCGTAACAGTGCATAACAGATTACCACAGGAAGGGAAAACTCCATTCCTTAGCTTTTTGGGCATATGCTTAGTGCTGTATAAATGTTCTGTAGGGATTTTCTTCTAGGTGTATACTGGTCCTAGGTCCAGGGTGACCATTCCCAGATTGAGAGATGAGCTGACAAAGCTGTATTATTGACCGGCCTAAAGATAATGGAGTGTATAACTAGGACACTGTAACCTATGTGGCAACATTAAACTGAAATTGCAAAGCAGGGACTCCAGCCTATCCCAAGCCCTTTTCTCCTCTGTGTCCCCCACATTACTATCAGATCAGTATAGTGCCTGTTATATAACTTATTAATTTTGGTATGTATGTTGGGAGGGATAGCTCAGTGGTTTGAGCATTGGCCTGCTAAACCCAGGGTTGTGAGTTCAATCCATGAGGGGGCCATTTAGGGATCTGGGGCAAAAATCTGTCTGGGGATTGGTCCTGCTTTGAGCAGGGGGTTGGACTAGATGACCTCCTGAGGTCCCTTCCAACCCTGATATTCTATGATTCTATACTGACCTAAATTCTAAATTTTCCATTTGCTGCAGATATTTGAATTGACAGTGAGTAATGGCCTGATAGAAATTGTCAGCATAGGGAAAGCTGGAGAAATTGGTAGCTAGGTAACAAACCTAGGAATTACCATACAGGATCAGACCAGTGGTCCACCTATTCCTGTATGCTGTCTCCAACAGTGTCCAGTACCAGATGCTCCCAGAGGAAGGTGTGAGGAAACCACATGGTAGATAGCTATAGAGTAACCTTCTTGTAGAGGAATCTTCCTAACTCATCATTTAGAGATTGCCCTGTGCCCGTAAGCATGAAGGTTCAGTTGGGGAAGCATGGGAGCTTTTGGTTATTGATATCCAGGAGGTGGTGGGGCTTTTGGTATTGGGGACAGGACAGAGAACTTTAAGGTTGGGAGGAGTAGGGTTTAAATTCCTGGGGGTGGGTGGTGGTCCCTTTTTGTCCCTCCCACCCCCATTGACAACCCTTGATAAGAACTAGCTGCCCATCTGAACCGTGCCCCAATATCCCACACAACATCCAAAATTGACAACTAAGTATATTGACTTGATTCTGCTAAATTTGATCAGCAGTGAAATATTTAATGTCCGTGCTTAAATTGTTAACCTCCGTGTCCCCCCCACTGAGGTGAATGGGGACAGTTCAAACTTCTCCGAGCTGTTGTTTGTGAATAGATTTGTTGACAGATATTTGTAGGCAACTATCACTCCATTAAGTTACATTAGCCTCATGATTTGAAAGCTTTCTTTACAACCGTGAGAGACTTAATTTTCTAAAAATGAAAACTCAGATTCTCAAGCTAAGCTGTACTCCGGGTTAATTGTGCATTTTTGCATTATATACGTGGCTCCAGATATGATCAGTGCTCCTGTATGTAAGAATGCTGAAGTCATATATAGTTGAAATGTGTGTTACATACCTTTTTAAGTCAATAATACAAATGGTCAGAAATATGGAGTTTTGTATCGGGGGGAGGGGTGCATTCCTGGCAACTTACAGTAGGTACCATTTTAAAAAGTTGCATTTATCAATGGTCAGTGCACTGGGTTTCTGTGAAATTTTTTCCTGTTCACAGAATGGGGCAATATTAATATTGTGATATCTCTGATACTGTGTCATGCTAACTGATACATACTGCAGTCACCAATAACAGCAGTTTGTCTGTTTAGGTACTTACTTAGATCACATTAGCATGTGAGTGCCAAAAATATTAGAGTGTATCATTGCAACACAAATGGGAGAGAGAGAGAGAAAAAAAAGTATTATCCACATTTTATAGGGTGTCACAGGAAGTCAGTGGCAGAGCTGGGAATTGAACCCAGATGATATGAGGCCTAGTCAAAGATCTTAACCACAAGAGCCTTCTTTCCCATTACAATGAAATTTTACTGAATGACAATGCAATTTTGCAGACACTTTTTCAAATTTCCTAAATGTTGACTGGAATAATAGATAGATCAGTGTTAACTCCACCACCTGAGTGTATTTCACAACTGGTTTTCTTCTCTACAGACAGTTAACTTTTTTTGTATATCTCATTTCAGCTGCCAGGTATTGCAACATGCTAATTGAAGAAGGTGGATTACAGCACTTATACAACATCAAGGAAAATGGCCAAACTGATCCAGATGTCCAGCGAATTGCAATTGCCATTCTAGATAGCTTAGAAAAACATATTGTACGTCATGGGAGACCACCTCCATGTAAAAAGCAGCCACAAGCCAAACCAAACTGAAAGCTGCAGGTATAAGTTTGTAAACCATCCTCTCTGTAATAATTCTTTATCACGTGTGTAGTTGGAGTTACTTGTACTACAGTGGTCACCAGTGAAGTTATTTGCTAACAGTTGTGGTACTGGATACCACTTGTGGTAACTCATGGGCAAATGTCTACTTTAATGACAACTTCTGAGGGGATCTATGATCAATGCTTGATCTAGTCATACCTATAGGATTACTGATGACTACAGCAAGGTGGGACTTGAATAGTTTGGAATGCACATCCAAAAACAAACCTCTAGGAATATCTTGTTTTGTGACTTAATTGTGGGACAGAAAGCTTGTTTCATGCCTGTCATTGTTGAATATAGAACTGTTTATCAACTCAGTGTTTGAATAGAACTGTTTGCAAGAGTGGTGAATCTCACAATCACAGCTTTAAACAAAAATTCACGCATGCACTCATGTAACTAAGGTAACCAGAATGTCCCATTGTATATGGACCCTCCATAAGCCCAACTAAGTCTTCAAAACTCCTTGTCTTGGGACCTGCAACCTGTGTCCTTTGTCTCTCCAGCACTAGACTGTTGTCTTTTCCAGCTGTTGGCTTCCCATGACTCATCTATGCTGCCATAGCAAGGTTAGGATTAGCACTGCTTTGGTGCAAATGGGAAACACTGAATTGCCTGCTCTGAAGGAAAGCAATATAGGTACAGGTGGCAGTGGGGGACAGGGGAAAGCTTGAAATGCTAAGAGGATAAACTGAGTTTGACTTTCAAACTTAAAACTAAGGGTTTTTTTTAAGGAAGTGGTAGGAGAAGGAGGGAGCTCCACATCACAGCTCAAAATGTTAGTTGAAGTAGGATAGCCCTTCTCATCACATGGAGCTGCATGTCCTGACAGGAGAACCAGGATATTTGGTCATCTTTTTATAACAGATTATTGATTGCTTTGCCATTTCTTGTACATATTTTGTCAGTATTGTGCAGTGATTTGTATTCCCAATGCATTACAGTGCAAAATATCACCCAACATCATATATAAGGTCCTTTGTAAATTGCATTGTTGTGCGGAGTGTGAAATTTTACATAAAGCTGTCAATGGTAAAAACGTATTTCTTCCTCTGTTATTTATGAGTTTAAAAGCTGTGTTGAATGAAATGGAGATTCCACAGCGTACAGATGCTTGATTAAATACAAGTGATGGAAGCAAGCTACAACATGAGCTCAAATTCCCTTCATTTCAAAGCATTGTTTACTAATTCTCCTTGTACTGTCTAATGGCTGTCTTCGCATCTCCCTGCCAAACAATGGAGCAGGATTCTACTATTGTTGAACTTATTGGCATTTTAGTTCCAATTCCTGAAGAGAAAATCGCTGTACTGTTTACCTTATGGGAAAGGGATGACTGACACAACACCTCTTTACTTCACTATAATAGAGTTAACACACCATCTACAATCTTGAATAGTTTCATTACGGTGTGTGTGTTAGAAACATTAACAAAGTGCTTTAGTAATGTTACCATTACCACATTGCATAATGCTTTGTTTTGTACTCAAGGTATTATCTGGGTAGCTTCATTCCTCTACATACATCTGAATGTATGTAGTTTCCTTGACCCAAAAAGAAGTGAAAATTGTCAGACATAAAATTATGGGATTTATTTTTTAAAAAAAAGTTTGGAAGAATTGTGTTTTATGGGCAGTTACTTTTACCTTTCAGACTAGAGAAGTCTTGACTTCTACTGTGAAAAGTCCATTGCAGGAAATGGAACACACAATCTGCCAATATCAGAGTTTATGGAAACTTTGTATCACTTGGTACTGAGAGGTTTTTAAATGAACATAACCATTTGGAATGCTGTTTTCCCCCAGTAAGATGGCTATTCTAAACACATTAGATTAAACTATACAAAGTCTGCTATGGTATATGACCCAAAATGGAAACTGGGGCACCAGTCTGGCTAGCTAGGGCATCACTTCATGAGATTATGGAACAAGCATAATGCAACCACACAGAGTTGCCAGTAATGCAGTCTTTCATGGTCTTTACAATAGCCCATTCCAGGTTACTCTTCAGAAGTGTCTGATGGTATATTGATTGTGGAGGTGACTACAACACTAAGATGTCTATTTCACTTGTGATATTTGCCATATTATGAATGTATAATCTGTTAATGCCTCTACTCTAACTTAAATGTTTCTGTAAATGTATGAACTGCTGAGGTTACCTTGATTGAAATTAAATGAGATGACTTACAAGTAAGTAGTTCAAGCAGATCTAAAGAATAGTGAAACTGAGTTTTTTGCCCAAAGACTGTGCATGAGGAAGTGGCTCCTTATTCCAGTATAGATGTTTTATCAGTTTATAAACTACGTTCATAAAACACAACAAAAACTTGTTTTCCAAAAAATACATTCCTTCTAATAGAGGAACCAGTTCTGGTTTAGCTGACAGCATTCAACTGTTTTAAGTACCCGTTGTGACGGGTTGGATCACAGAAACCCCCTTGGGAGCTGCCACCTAATGTGCCAAGACTACCCCTGCTTCCGTTTTCCCTGCCAGCTCAGGACTCCAGCACCCTGTCTTGCTGAGCGAGACACTCCAGTCTGGCTCCAACACAGACCCAGGGTCTGAATCACTTGTCCCAAAGCTGCAAGTTTACCTGAAAACAGCTCACAGGAGTGTGCTTGTCTTTAGCACTCAGATGCCCAACTCCCAATGGGGTCTAAACCCAGATAAATCCGTTTTACCCTGCATAAAGCTTATGCAGGGCAAACTCATAAATTGTTCGCCCTCTATAACACTGATAGAGAGATATGCACAGCTGTTTGCTCCCCCAGGTATTAATACATACTCTGAGTAAATTACTAAATAAAAAGTGATTTTATTAAATACAGACAGTAGGATTTAAGTGGTTCAAAGTAGTAACAGACAGAACAAAGTAAGTCACAAGCAAAATAAAATAAAATGCGCAAATCTATGCCTAATCAAACTAAATACAGATAATCTCACCCTCAGAGATGCTTCAGTAAGTTTTTCTCAGACTGGACACCTCCCAGGCCTGGGCACAATTCTTTCCCCTGGTACCGCTCTTGTTCCAGCTTAGGTGTTAGCTAGGGGATTCTCCATGATGGCTCCTCCTCCTCTCTCTTCTGTTCCACCCCTTTATATATCTTTTGCATAAGGCGGGAACCCTTTGTCCCTCTGGGTTTCCACCCCCCCTCACTGGAAAAGCACCAGGTTAAAGATGGATTCCAGTTCAGGTGACATGATCACATGTCACTGCAAGACTTCATTACTCACTTGCCAGCACACACATATACAGGGAGACTCACAGGTAAACAGCCATCTGCAGACAATGGGAGTCATCAAGATTCCAAACCATCATTAATGGCCCACACTTTACATAATTACAATAGGCCCTCAGAGTTACATTTTATATTTCTAGTTTTAGATACAAGAGTGGTACATTTATACAAATCAGATGATCACACTCAGTAGATTTTGAACTTTGTAATGATACCTTACAAGAGACCTTTTGCACGAAGCATATCCCATTTGCATTATAGTCGCTTATTATCAAATTTTTATAAAACTATCCCAGTTACATTATATTCACTTATTATCATGTTTTTATAAAACCATATAGACTGCACAACGTCACACCCGTTATTAGAAGCTAAAGGACAAATCATTAGCATGTCTGCCTATCTAATAGGATTTCATAATATTCTGAAACTGCTGTGATGGGAAGGTAATAGTTATATTTAGACAGGTTTCAGAGTAGCAGCCGTGTTAGTCTGTATCCGCAAAAAGAACAGGAGTACTTGTGGCACCTTAGAGACTAACAAATTTGTTAGTCTCTAAGGTGCCACAAGTACTCCTGTTCTTTTTGTTATATTTAGAGTAAGCATTAGGGATAAATGCTAGCATGTGAGATGAGGCTTTCTAACTGTTTTTAAAAAAAGTTTTGTAAGTTATATAACTTAAATATTCTGGTGTACATATTTTAAATGAAATGATACAGTTTGTGCTATACATTTACCTTGTTTAGCCTATGAAACTCCTGGGCCAAATTCTGCCTGGAGTTCACATGACTGGGGAGTCAAAACTTATTTTCTGTCACTATTGTGTGTGAGGTTTTATTATTGGTTTGTTCTTTTTGAAATGTCCAAGTTTAAGTTGAGGAGTAGAATGCAAAGAGCTGTGTTTTAAAAACCATCTTTAGCCATCGCTATGATCATTTCCATGGCTTTTCCCTTGCTATCAGTATTTCAGCTGGGCTCAGTGCTTTGTGACACTTCTGGGCTGTTAGGATGGTATACAAACAGAGGTAACCTTTTAATTGCACAGCTTTCTCCCTAAAAGCTTTCTGAAGCAATTTCAGAATTTTACCCGGGCAACGCTTACCAACTACTGTAATTTTCAAGATTAAATGTACTTAAACCGGAAAACTGTTCGATGTGGGAATGGTGTCAGATCTGTCTTCATTCAGAGTTGAGTCGTATAGGAAAACTTTCTTTAATATTCATTGAATTAATGATGTACATTTAGTCAGGTTTCAGAGTGGTAGCCGTGTTAGTCTGTATCAGCAAAAAGAACGAGGAGTACTTGTGGCACCTTAGAGACTAACAAATTTATTTGGGCATAAGCTTTCATGGGCTAAAACCCACTTCATCAGATGCATGCAGTGGAAAATACAGTAGGAAGATATGTATACACAGAGAACATGAACTGGAATTAATTTGCAAACTGGACACCATTAAATTAGGCTTGAATAAAGATTGGGAGTGGATGGGTCATTACACAAAGTAAAAACTATTTCCCTATGCTAATTTTTCCCCTACCGTTACTCACATCTTCTTGTCAACTGTTTGAAATGGGCCATCCTGATTATCACTACAAATTTTTTTTCCTCCTGCTGATAATAGCCCACCTTAATTGATTAGTCTCATTAGAGTTGGTATGGCAACACCCATTTTTTATGTTCTCTGTGTATATATATCTTCCTACTGTATTTTCCACTGCATGTATCCGATGAAGTGGGTTTTAGCCCATGAAAGCTTATGCCCAAATAAATTTGTTAGTCTCTAAAGTGCCACAAATACTCCTAGTTCTTTTTGTACATTTAGTCGTGTCTTTATATGATGCTATTCATTCCTTCTTAAGCGTTCTTAAATTATTGGATCAAAGTTAGGCAATGAGAAATGATTGTCAGTAGTATTTAAAAAGGAGGAGACGACTTAACTTCTTCACAAATAACCTGTTACAAAGCCCTTCTGTTTATTTTTTTGTTACCTTTTTTCAAAGCAAATATATTGTTGCCATATAGCACAATCTGATTTAAATGACAGTGCGCTAAATCCATGGATTGACAACAAAAAAACCAACCAACCATAGAGATCGGCAGCACAGATGGTTATTGTATCTGAATTAATTTGTGGAAAATTAAGTTCTCATTCAAATTATGAACAAAGGTGATTATGTTTATTGGCAAAATCTGGCATTTGCGTTAGCAGGTGGCTTATGGTAATGGACAAAGTAACAGAGCAATAAGTCTTTATGCCACAACAATGGTGTGAATTTCTGAAGAAAGGGGAACAGGATTGCAACATGCATTCTGTTGGACAGTGAAAAGAGTAGAACAACACTACTTACTTGCACAAAAGCTTAGGCAAGATTTGCCAAGAAACCATAATTGTTTCCCTACATGTACTACAACCTTTTAAACAGAAAATAGGTTTTTTTTTAAACTATATGCTAAGTGTCAAATATCATGTGCCTTTCTTCTGTTTAAACTGTAATATAGCAGCATAGTTCTGTAAAATGTGACAATTGTTCAGTAAATGTAATGGTTGTGTTTTTAAAATACTTTCAATTATCCAGACACAAAATACTATTTCCCCACAGGGTCCAGATGAGTGGGGTGTGCTGCATATGGATTGTAACACAAATTTCTAACCCATGCTTTATTTGGGTGTTAATGTTGTATGTTAACTATAGGCTTTGCCTAAATAAATGTGTATGTATATTTTTTTTCTTTTAGAATAATGAATATGCTGTTTGACAGAAATGAGAGAGGCTGCATTGAGCCAAAACAAGTCCGTACAAAACGGACTATATATATCTGTTTAAAGGTGTATTATTATTTACTAGTAAAATAATGTACAAGCTGCCACCATCTATGAATGTAGCAAAACACTTATTTCCCTTTGACAGTGTGGCTGTCTTAAAATGAAAAACAAAGTGCATTACAATCTTACGTTATGATGTGAGGCAACAACTTTTTTGTTTCCATTAACAGAGTAATAATCACTCTCAAATCTTTGGACTAGACCAGAAATGGGCTACCTGACCCATTTCTTTCAGTAGGGGGAATTTTAACTAATGTTTCTCTTGCTTTTGTAGAGCTTTTGTGATTTTTTTTTCTGATTTCACTAAATTTGATTCTTCAGGAAAATGGTTCTAGACAAGTAAAACTTTCTGTAAAAGTTCTTTCCATGTTTTCTTACGAACAGTGAAGTATCTAAACGTTCAGCAGGCGATTGCTCAGTTTCCAACTTTCTTAAAACCAGTTAAAGCAGAAATGAAAAAACATGTTTCTTTTGTTCTCACTGTTGCATTCCTAAATTTACATTAATTTGGTAATATATAAAATAGGATATGGAAAGGAGATGGGGGGGGGGAGTAATTGATACAAATTAAGAAACAGATACTTTACAAACACTAATGAACAGAGTAAGCCCAGTGGATGGTTTGTATTTGGAAATGGGACATATAGCCAGCCTTTCACAGCTTGACTTGTGTGGTTGATAGCAATCACAGTATTGCTATGTGGTGGCTGGCTCCATGGCCTTTGTGAAATGAATTTTGTGGTCTCAGAACAACTTCCATCACAGTTTCTCCATTAACAAAAGCCACCGCAGTTTGTACTAAATAGCAACTTTAAACTTCAGCTTCTCTATTGAGACTCAACTGGTGGAAGACTGAATGAAGAACTGTGCTCTGATACAATGGAAATGGTCTAGAAGGACAACCTCCTGCATACTCAAAATTAGTGACCTTCAGTGATGCATGAAGAACTGAGTCCTTCTCAGTATTCCT